GGAAATATACCATGGCTTAGTGACTGTCAAAATAATTTGTGTCTATCTCCTCTGCTCCAAAGATACTGCAGTGAGCAATGTTAAACTGCATAACACCCCTTATCAAAAGCAATAGCTCAACCTGCTACAAGATGCACTTGACAAATAGCAGTAGCAGTGAATCTACCCATTCTCACTGTTGCCATTTTAGCTACATGCAGGTCTGATGTTAAGCTATTAAAGAGAAAAAGTGCCACAACCATTCAGAGTCGTTGTTATTCTCCATAGTCAGAGTCATTAATACAAGCCAAGAGAGCTTTTGTGACATAAGGAGGGGAGGTAAAAGACAAAAGAACAAAGGTAAGAGGGGAGGAAAATAGGGAGAAAACAAACAGGGAAGGTCAGAGGAAATGAGAGGAAGTGATAAGGAGAGCATGAAATAAGGTGAGGAAATTAGAAGGAAAGATGTTACTGCTGTGTACTGTCCTTTGAATTACATATAGTAGAGCGTATGATAGAAGACATAATGGAGAAGATGTGAAAATACATCTGAAACCAGAAGAAAAGGAGAGAGAGCAAAAAGGAAGAATGAAAAGAAAGGAGACTGATAGTGAAAACAAGTTTCAAAAGCAGTGACATTAAAAAAATAAATGTGTAAGCCACATCCAAAAACCTTTTTTCTTGTTACAGTTCTTCTTTGTACCAGAGTGCATGTGTATGTATGTGCACACTAGAGATGCTGTGACCATGCAGGAATAATCACTTGAAACAGGCCACATTAACCTGAAGCCCTCTGGGGCACTAGCCTGGTTTAACCCAAGAATGAAACTCTGCACACCGCTGCCTACACACAGGCATGGTAAAGAAACACACAGATATACACTCATACTTGTACAGTAATACTGAGCTGTGCAGGAAAGCGAGATGTTAGACAGGATAAGAGGATGAGGTGAGTAAGACAAAAATTGAGTGAGTGTGAGAAAGAGCTTTGGCCAGATACAGTTAACACACACAGTCACATAAGTGGAGCAGATGTTTAGTGCTAACTTAGATTTTCCCCAGCTTAATATAGATGTGGTAAAAATTCTGTTAATCTAACATCCAGGCCAACAATGACTGTAGAAGTAGATTAAGCTGTGAAGATCAGGGACCAATAGAGACTGAGCAGACAGACAGGTTCTAAACCTGTTCTAAACAAGGCATGACTAAATTTTCAAGTGGCTGCTGAAAATGTCAGAAGACTTCCTAAGACTGCAGCACTTTCTGTTTAGGTTTAGAGTAGCAGTTGTAGTGAGAATAAACACAAAAGCACCAGATCTGATATAATTTAGAGTATAGCCTTGACCCTACTGTGTTTCTGTCTTACTAGCTTCTTCTTCACATCCTGTTTCTTTCCACCTGACTCTACTGTGGCAGGAAAAGGTCATTAGAAAACCAGTGCATGTACAATTATAGTGACTTAAATTGCTTTTGTTGTATCATGCAGCTCTTCTTCATAGTTAAGTGTCCAGTTAGTTAATGTGATTGCCCACATGCTCAATGAATGTGTTTCATTTGACAGCAAGGGCCTTGTTTAAATTAGGTTTGAATAGCCTGATATTGTACAGTATATACACTCACTGACTACAGCTTTGCTAATTTTAATGCGGGAAAAAGCCTCCCTTCTTTTTTCACCAAAGAAATGACTTATGGCATTAATTACATTGATCCATGCCATCTTAATGAACCTATAATGTGAGCCTGCCATTATCAAGAACAGGCACAAGGATATAATTAATGACTTACCGCTCACTATGTCAGCACAGCTCTTATCAGTTCATTATGCCCTATAAGTCTGTGCATTATGAATCTTCATTAGACAATCTCCTAATCATTTCACATACTACTCACATAACTTTTCAATCCTGCTGTGCTAGGGCCAAGCCTTAAATCAGTGGCCCAATGACTTCAGTGTGCTGTTTACTTCTGGTGATTTGATTTACCACCGTAGTTACATGGGCCAAGCACAGCAGGGGGTAAGACTGTGTATGAAACAGGATCACACTGATACACTCAGATGGAGAATTTAGCTCAAACAAGATGAGATAATCTATAAACATACTTTGTCACTGGACAATGTAATCCACAAGTGTTGCAATTAGATCTACAGTGTATTGATTTTTGCAGCTGCAGTGCAAATTTTTTTTAATGAGTTTTCTTACATCCATCTATTGAAAGTTCTAACACAAGGCACGGTATATTTGAGATAGAGGTGGATCCTCTCTCTACACCTTTGAAGTGCAATTATTTAATTAATTCCTGCTTAGAAAGACAATCCTATCACTGAATGTACTGTTTGAAATTTCACTAACAGTAGCAATAAAAGTAAACCCAGTACCAACCCCTCGACTCTGAAATGTGCTTCAAAAGCTACGCTCTGAGCTTAAAGGCAATTCTCACTCCCTTCAACTGAGTCAAACTGATCAACTCAAACGCTCGTCTAGAGTGTCATATTTACTGCTATGATTCTGAACCAAATGCTAATGATAACTGTAGCTATTGAGGCTCAGCAGGTTAATGACATCAAGGGAGCCGTGAATGTGGTGTGACCGACTTGGGTGTTTTCATGTGGGTATGATACGGTAATGGGATTAACACAGCGTACCTAAACCCACATTGAGATAAGCTAAATGAAGCCCAATTAAAATTACATTGGTGGCAACAATGGAATTAAGGAGGAAACAGGTGAGAATGGGTGCTTCTGACTGTGTGAATTTGATAGAAAAGGTGCCCAACTGTGCTTCATTCCCAATTGGAATGAATGAAGCACACAAAATGAGAACTTATAAGTTACAAATGTGTTTGTGATAGCCTTTATTATACTTCTTATTCTTTATTCCATTATTTTTTCTTCTCCATTTGTCTCTGAGTTGGATGCAGTTGTTGGAAATGTGCAGGGCTGACTACACAGCACAAAAAGGAGGAAAACTGGAAAAAGGCTATAACATTCAGTTTGTTATATTCTATTTGAAACATACAGTACCTCATCAAAAACCATCTGGAAAAACATGCCAAACCTCAAAAGTAAACATGTATCAGTCATCATGTGGAAAGAAATAATCTTGATGATTGTTGCTGCATCTATATACATTATGTAAGAAAGCATCATTTAACATCATAATGGAATACTGATGTAGAAAGCATCATTTAGGTTTTTTGTGAATGTTGGTCCTAGTTTAGCAAGAAGCATTTGTACAGATGATACATCCGTCACTATAAATAACAATACAATTGAAAGGAATATGTGTTCTATTTTTCTGAAGCCCATAGTTGAAAAGGAAATTATAGAGATAGTGAATAAATGTGGTAACACAACATCTAGTGATAGTGATGGTATCACTATGACAACTGTTAAATGGGTAATTGAGGGGATATGCAAACCATTAACCCATATTTTTAACATGTCGTTTCGACTTGGGCAGTTCCCCAATAATATGAAAATAGCAAAGGTTATTCCACTGTATAAATCTGGTGATAAGCACAACTTCACAAATTATAGACCGGTTTCTCTGTTGTCACAATTTTCAAAAATTCTGGAAAAACTCTTTAATAACAGATTAGATACATTCATTGAAAAAATAAAATCCTCTCTGATTGCCAATACGGTTTTAGGTCGAACCGATCGACATCT